ACCCTTCACAATTGCTAATCACAAGATAAACTAACTGGGAGTAAATCTAACCAAAAGCACAAAGGATCTATTCAAAGAAAATTAAAAAACATTAATGCAAGAAACAAACAGAGACCTGGAGAAGTGGAAGAATATCTCTTGCTCATGGATAGGAAGACTCAATATTGTGAAAATGACAATACTACCAAAGGTACTTTACACATTAACTGCAATCCCAATACAAATACTAATTCCATTCTTCAACAAGATGGAAAAGGCAATTTCCAATTTCATTTGAAATGGAAAGAGGCTTCGAATAAGTAAAGCATTCCTTAAAAAAGGGAAATAAGGTAGGAGGCATCTCACTCCTGATTTCAAATCCTACTACACTGAAGTGGTGGTCAAGACAGTAATGTACTGGTATAATGACAGACACATAGATCAATGGAATAGAATTGAGAACCCGGAAATCAGCCCATCTATTTATGGGCAATTGATTTTTGACAAAGAGATGAAATCTGTTAAGTGGGGAAACGACAACCTTTTTAACAAACGGTACTGGAAAAATTGAAAAAACTACCTGTAGAAAACTCAAGCAAGATCTACACCTCACTCCATACACAAAAAGCCAACTCAAAATGGATCATGGACCTATGACTAAAACCAAGGACTATACATTTCATTAAAGAAAAGCTTGGAAGAACTCTAAAAGTCCTAATCCACAATATAAACAGTCGTCCAAGCATCCTGAAAAATCTACAACCAAGAGAGGATAAAATAGATGAATGGGACTTTCTAAGAATCAAATCCCTATGCACATCTCAAAACTTCTCCAACAGAGTAAAAATGAAAGCCACAGATTGGGAAAAAATATTTGGTAATGACATGTCAGATAAGAGACTTATATCTAGAACTTATAAAATACTTAAGTATTTTATAAATGTAAATAAACCCAATTGAAAAATAGGCACAGGATATGAACAGACATTTCACCAAAGCAGACATTCAGATGGCCAACAAATAGATGAAGAAATGTTCAAAATCCCTAGCTCTTAGAGAGATGCAAATCAAAACAACTATAAGATATCTTATCACCCCAGTAACGTTATCAAAATTTAACAGAGCAGCAAACAAAAAATGCTGGTGAGGTTGCAGAAAACCTGGAACCCTTCACTGATGGCGGGAGTTTAAAATGGTGCAACCACTATGGAAGGTTGTATGGTACTTTTTCACAAAGTTGCAAATAGAAATACCAGTTGACCCAGGAATTTCTCTACTGGGAATATACCCTAAAGAAACCATACTGCCACCCAGGCAGATATATGCACACCCATGTTTATTGTAGCTTTGTTCACAATAGCAAGGAGTTGGAAACAACCTTAGCGCCCATCAACAAACGAATGGAGAGAGAATCTGTGGTATATTCACAGAATGGAATACTACGCTGCATTGAAAAACAAGGAACTAATGCATTATTATTCAAAATGGGTGACTCTGGAGGACATTATGCTGAGTGAAATATCTCAGTCACAAAAGGACAAATATTGCATAGTGCCACTGTTGTAGAACAAGACTGATATCAGGGTTGGGGTGAGACTGAGAAAAATTGGATAAATTATGTATACTGCAAGGAAACAGATGAGGGAGAGAACAATTTAAAAGCGATATATGACTGGGTATTATGGTTATGACAAGAGTCCAGAATGAAGGTTGCATAGTGGAGTGTACTGAGTGGTGGGGGAGTGAGGGTTGTATACCAATGAAGGAATTTTTCTTTTACTTTTCAAAGAGAAGAGCGAACTTGGAGGATGGGGTGGTCAGGGAGAAAAATGCAACAATGAATGAATAGAAATCCAAAATCTCTCTGTAAATGTTCATTAAAATTTATTAAAATAAAATCTAAAAAAAAAATCTAGTTTACCCAAAATTATAAAAAAAATCCCCAAAAACATCCTGTAGTACAACACTATCAGTGATCAGATAATGTATATAAGGAAGATACACCTGTTAATATAACCATTATTCAAAAATAGGAAACAATCAATAATGGCAAAGATAAGGAAACTGATGATTTCTACCAACTTCTACAGCCTAAAATTCACGAAATAGCAAATCAATATGCATTTTAACAACTGCTGATGGGAAGGCAAAAGTTGGAAACAAATAAGAACGTTAAGCAGACAGAAAATATGGACTTGGTGAGAGAAATGAAGTTAGAGGTCAGTAGATAGAATTTTGTACAACCAAGGACTTTTTCATTGCAAGTATCTTTCTCAACAAAACTGGCAATCATATACACAAAAGAGAGTTCTGGTGGCATAGTCTATGGGAAGTTGTGTTGCTAATACTAAATACTGAGCCTCTCTGGCAGTTACAATCCACCAGCAGCTCTACAGGAGAAAGACAGGCAATCAATCTCTACCCAAACAACTGACTGCCTCCGGAAAACCTGCTGCCGGGTCAGCTATGTGTTGGTTCCAAGTTTATGTGTATAGTTTCCTAAACACAGACTTTGTTGTGTTGGTTCCAAGTTTATGTGTATAGTTTCCTAAACACAGACTTTCCCAGAAAGAAACAAATAATCACATCAACTATAACTGTGGAAAGAGGTGGTGGAGATTCTTAGTGTCATCAGTGAGAACAAAGCAAGAGGCTGACTGTAACAGGTTATGAATTGCTCACAGGCAAGTTCAAGCTGAAGGTAAAGAAAATTAAAACAAGTCAATGGAAGCCAAAATAGAATCTTATATATTCCTCACCTGAATTTAGAAGCTATCTCAAGAACAGATTTGATACATTGAACACTAAAGACCAGAAGAAGTGCAGAATGACATCAAGGATATTATACATGAAGAAAACAAAAGAAGTTATTTAAAATACAGGATGGCACAAAAAGAACAAAATGGATGCTAGGAAAAAAAGTCTGTGCTAGAATGCAGAGAAGTTAAAGCAAAAGTAAAAATTATAAAGTAGGAAAGCTGAAAAGAAGATTTCAAAGGACAGCTCCAGACAAGTAAAATATTATCAAGAAAATGTGTAAATATGGAGTTAGGAAACCAAAACTGTAGAACACACTTGGCATTCCTCAAGATTAAAGACCTGAAGAACAAAATCCAACCTTAAGTTCAAGAATGAAGTATTCTACAGTATATTAGTGAATGTCTAACAGTGAAAAGCATCAAAAGAAGACAGATGGTACAGTCACTGCAAAAAAAAAAAAAGGGTCAACATTCAACTATTTAAAGAGGTGCTATATAATCAAGAACCAATAATACTACCTCAACTATCAGCCAAACAATGGACATGCTTCTGAGGTTACTTCCACAAAATCAGCAAGGAGAATTCACTTGTTAGGAGAGTTAAACACGTAAGATCAAAAGGGAAATAAGAGCTCAGGTGGCAGAAAACAATAGAAATAAGACTGAATGGAAACAAGAATTACATAATAGAGAGTAGAGTATTGTTACAAATGGGCAACTGTAAATAGTGCCATTAATTAGAAACCAAAATCTGTATGAATGATTGAAAGCAAAATCAATTGCTAGACAAAATTTCAGTCTAAACACAATACAAAGGAAAAAGAAGAAAAACCAGTGGTATCAAAGGCAGAAGTCCAAGCTGCACTGAAGGTACTGGTGAAAAACAGCATTGGATGGAATTAATGGAAAACCAGTTGAAGTATTTCTACAATTGGAGGGAACCTTTGACATAGTAATCTATACCAAGAAATTTGGAAGATGGTTTCCTAGTCAAGAAACTGCAAGAAAATAAACTAGTCAAAAATAAATAAAAAAATTAAAAAAAAATCAACTGCAAGAGATCCTTATTGCCTTTCTCAAAAAACAGATCTAGTAGAATGTAGAAATCATCAAACAATACTATTAGTATCACACACAAGAAAAACCATGCTGAACATAATTTTAAAATAGCTACAGCAGTATATCAATAGATATTCAAACTTTAAAGTTTAAAAGAATTTAAGAATTTAAAAGGAGCCATTGAACAAAAAAATATCATTGCTGATGTTAGGTGGATCTTGGCTGGAAGTAGACAATACCAGGAAAATGTTTACTTGTATTTACAAAAAAAAATTTGTTATGTGGACAATAAATTATGGAGAACACTTAATTGTGTTCATTCAGAACTTGCACACAGGTCAGAAAGCAGTCTTTTAAACAGAACATGGAGATACTGCATTATTTAAAATCAGGAAAGATGTGAGTCAGAATTATATTCTTTTACTGTACCTATTTAATCTGTATACTTAGGAAGAAATTCAAGAAAATGGACTATATGAAGAATAATGGGGCATCAGGAGTGAAGGTAAATTCATCAGCAATCTGCAAGACGTGAATGATACGATCTTGCTTGAGGAAAATGAAGACCTGAAGTACTTACTGAAGACTATATTCTTCACTATGAATTACACTTCAAAATAACAAAAATCCTTACAATAGCACTAATAATCACTATCATGGTAAACAGAGAAAACAATAAAATTGTCACAAATTGACTTTTACTTGGATCCACAATCAACATTCATGGAAATCGCAGTCAAGAAATCAAATGGCACTCTACAAAGAGCAAATCTGCTGTCAAGAACTTCTTTAAAGTACTAAGGAAGAAGGCTATCACTTTAAATACTAAGGCCTAACTGCCTCAAGTCATGACATTTTTAACCATCTTTTACACATATGAAAGAGGGATTCATACAGTGGCTGCAACCACAGGTTTAAAGATAGCAGAGATAGTGAGGATGGTGCAGGAGCAGGCAAGGTGGCTAAGAGTCAAACAAAATCTTTCTGTGTTATGTTGGATGGTCATCCTTTATATTATTTGTTATTATGGCCTTAAACAACATCTACTTTATGCATGGTGGTAAAATTTACTAAAGCAACAGAAAAACTTAAAATCAGGTATCTTTTTTTCCAAAAATAACACAAAATACGAACATATTGGCAATCATGTCAACATCATTTTTCTTGAGAGTTTCAAAAGTTGGTTTAATTAAGATTTCTTACCTGTCAGGAATACCTAGCCTCTTGACACTTCTGTAAACAGAAAGTGTATTTGCAACATGTCGATAATTAAACCAGAATCTGGATGTGCACACCTAAAGTATGAAAACAAATATGTTATTCTTATGAATCAAGATAAATCATGGACACACAGATTATTTAAGTAGAAGGCCTAAAAAAAGTATACCATTATTCAAAATCAGAAACACCTAAAAATTAAAGAATTGTGCATAATACTAGTATCTACAGAAGTCATTTCTTAGTAATTAATATTACAGATCATTCAGCTGAAAAAAAAACAACCACATTTAGGGGAATTTATTGAAGCAGTATTTACCAATTGAGTTATTTTCAATGTCCATAATTTTGTAATATTTGTATTTCTAAAATATTAAAATTATTTATAATTAAAAGGTTCATAATCTCAGAATAGACAATTGGTACTTTGACTTACACAGTATTTCTTTCTATTTAAATTGAATCTTAATTTTAATTGTGAGATATACAGAACACAAAATACACAAAAGAGTTTTATATTCATATAAGAAAAAGCAGTATAAAGAACCTGTTGAATTGAACAGGAAATAGAAACCAAGTTTTACACCACCAAGAACAAAAAAATTCCCTAATTCCTAAAGAAGTACCAAACATTCTAGGAGAACTGGAAAATCTAACTCCACACTTCAAAAATTAGCCTTCTTGACAAAAAGGGAATAAAGGCCATTTCTGGTGGGAAGAAGTAAATCCTTTATTCACAGATAGCATAATTATGTTGTTGTTGTTGTTGTTGTTATGTGCCATCGAGTCGTTTGTGACTCATAGCGACCCTATGCACAACAGCCCTAAACCCTGCTCTATCCTGTGCCAATCTCATTGCCTCTGACACACCCATGCCGAGTACCCCAGTCACTGAATCAATCCATCTCATAGAGGGTCTTCCCCTCCTGCGCCATCCCTCCACCCTATCTGAGAGCCATACGGCAACTGATTTCAGCAAAGTGGCAGGACACAAGATCAACATATAAAAATCAGCTGGATTCTTCTACTCTAACAGAGAAAACTCTGAAAGAAATGGGGGAAACTATACCATTTAACAAGGCTCTCATAAAGATAGAATCCTTGTGAATAAATCACATAAGGGACATAAATGACTTATGTAATGAAAAATACAAAATATTGCTGCAAGTCACAATAAGACAAATATTGTAAGATTTTATTATTATATAAAAAGTGAAGAAAGGTATACACATAAAAAGAAGCATTCTTTAAAGAGAGAATTCTAGAGATGGAAGGAGAAAGGAAAGAAAATCTGTTACTAGGTAACAGGTAATTATTTAAGATAGATAAAGGGAAGGGAAATAGCAATAAGATACTGAATGGCACAATACCACTAAAGAAAGGGGAGTACATAGAAGACGTGTGCAAGTAGGAAGTGTATCATTACAATGTAGGTACTGTTTTTAAAGGCATAAAACAAATGTGCTATAAATAGGTGGAAAGAAAACTAGTTAGCACTTTCATACAAGATTAGGATTGTAAAGGTATTTCTCATGTACTTTTGGCACATGGCCAGGAGGGACCACTCTTTAAAGGACATCAGGCTTGGAAGGGTGGAGGGACAGTACAGAAGAGGAAGAGCCCAGATTAAATGGATTGATATAGTAACTGGGGTAATGGGGGTAGGTGTGTCAGTCAGTGAGATGGGGTCAAGACAGGGCAGTCTTCAGAGATGCTGTACAAAGTCACTATGAGTCACAGGCAATTCAATGGCTCAAAACAACAACTGCAAGAAAACAAGTGAGATCAGCATAAATAAAAACAAAATAAACTATGCTTATGGATGTTATTGTTGTTAGGTGGCTTTCAGTTGAGTACAACTCACAGCAACACTATGAACAACGAATCTGAACACTCTCCTATATTGTGCCATCCTCACAATCTGTGACACACTCAAGCCCACTGCCACAGTCATCATGTCAACCCAACTTGAGGGTCTTCCTCTTTTATGCAGTTCCCCCACTTTCCCAGGCATGATAAACCTCTCTGAGCAACATGTCCAAAATATGTGAGATGAAGAGTCATTATCTTTGCCTCCAAAGAGCACTCTAGCTGTACCTTCTCCAAGACATATCTGTATGTTCATTTGACAGTCCATGGGAACTTTAGCACTCTCCTCCAACAGCAGTCTTCTGTCATCCTTATTCACCACCTGGCTCTCAGATGCATAGCAAGTGATTGAAAGATCATGGCCTCGATCAAGTGCATGCACCATTGTCCTTAAACTGACATTTTGCTCCTTAATAATTTGGAGAGGTCCCTGACTACAAACTTTCCCAGTGCAAAACATTTCTTGATTTCCCAACTGATGGTACCAACTGTACTGATTATAGATCCAAGTAACATGAAGTTGTTGACAGTCTCAATCCTTTCTCTGTACATCATGTTGTTGCCGATTGGTCCAGTGGCAAAGATTTTTGTTTTCTTGATGTTAAGAGGTAGTCCATATCAAAGACTGAAGTGTTTAACCTTCTGCAGCAGGTGTTTCAAGTCCTCTTCATTTTCAACAAGAGCAACTATGTCATCCATATAACGAAGGTTACTGATGAGTCTCCAATCCTGATGCCACAGTCCTCTTCATAGATTCCAGCTTCTTGAATAATATGCTCAGCATACAGATTAAATAAATAGGGAGAAAGATAAAATTCTGACACACACCTTTCCTAATTTAAAACCATGCAGTCGTCCCTTGTTCTGTTCATACAACAGCCTCTTGTATAGATTTCACATGAACAGAATTAAGCATTCTGGGATTCCCATTTTTCTCAACGTTAGTCATAATTTGTTATGATCCACTCAGTGAAATGCCTTTACATAGTAAATAAAACACATTCTTCTGGTATTCTTTGCTTTCAGCCAGGATTCATCTGATATAAGCAATGGTAAGTCCGGTGAATGGCCTCTTCTAAATCCTGCTTGAACTCCTGGAGTTTCTCTCTCAGTCAATGTACTATTCTAGCCATTTCTGAATGATCCTCAGTAGTATTTTGTGTGCACATGATATTAATTATACTATTCAATAATTTGCACATTCTGTTGGAACACTATTCTTGGGAATGAGAACAAACATGGGTCTCTTCCAGTCAGCTGGCCAGGCAGCTGTCCTCCAAATTTCCTTGCACAGGCTTGTGAGTACATCCAGGGTTGTATCTGTCATTTGAAACATTTCAATTGGTAATCCATTGATTCCTGGGGCCTTATTTTTTTGTCAATACCTTAAATTAAGCTTGAATTTCTTTCTTCATTACCATTGGCTCTTGATAATATGGTACTTCCTGAAATATGTCAGTGTCAGTCAATTCTTTTAGGCACCATATTACCTCTGTCTTCTTTTGATGTATCCTGGGTCATTAAAGATTCTTCCCCATAGCACAACATACAACTTTGCTTGCTGAAAGTGAGGAGGATTGAAATGCTTGCTTTGGAAGAACAAGGATTACAATCTTTGGCATAGATTACATCTCAACATCAAGAAAACAAAGGTCCTTACAACAGGACCATGAATCAACATCATGGTGGAGGGAGAAAGGATTGAAGCAATCAATGATTTTACCTTACTTGCATCAATAATAAATGCTTTTGGTACCAGTAGTCAGGAAATCAGAAGATATATTACTTTGGGCAAGTCTGTTGTCAGGGACCTCTCAAAATGCTGAAGAGCAGATGTCAATTTGAAAACTAAGGTGCGTCTGATTCAACACATGGTTTTCTCAATCACTTTTTACTCATCAGAAAGCTAAACAATGAAAAAGGATGACAATAGAATAACGTATGCCCTTGAGTTGGAGTACTAGAGAAGAATACTGAATATTCCATGAACTGACAAAAGAACAGATATGTCTTGGACAAAGTGCAGCCAGAGTGCTCCATGGAAGCAAAGATGGTGAAGATTTGTCTTTCATACTTTGGACATATGGCTAGACGAGGCTATTCTTTGGAAAGGGACATCATGCTTGTCCCTTTGGAAAGATGGAGGGTCCTGAAGAAGAAGACACCTCCAAGGAAAGATTGACATGGTGATTTGCTTGGACTCTGGTATGCCAGAAATGATGAGGATGGCACAGAATAGGTAGGACTCAGGTCTACTGTTCATAGGGTTGTTCTGAGTGATACTTGACTTGACAGTACCTAACAACATCCCAAAGTAGTGCAACTCAAGAATTGAATTTATTTTTCAGTTCCTTCACCTTGAGAAATGCTGAGTTAGTTCTTCCCTTTTTATTCTCCAATTCTATGTCTCTACACATTCCATTATAGTGGTTTGCTTTGTCTTCTCGAGCTGTCCTTCAAAATCTGTTCAGCTATTTCAGCAAATCTTTCCTTTATTTCGGCTGGTTGATGCTCCAGAGCAATTTTCAAGGTATCTTCTGACATCCAGTTTGTTTTTTCTTTCTCCTCTTTGTTTTCAGTGACCTTATGCTCTCTTCACGGTCAACACTCTTGGCTCCAGTAGCCAGGAAATCAAAAAACGTATTGCGATGGGAAAGTCTGCTGTTAGGGACCTCTCCAAGGTACTGAAGAGCAATGGTGTCACTCTGGAGACTAAGGTGTGTCTGACACAGGCTATGGTCTTTGCAATC